GAACGAAATGGTTCGATGGAGGTGTGTATTTCGAGAGATCTTATGAAAGTTAAAGGGATACTTGTATATTTTTATGACTATCTTTTATGAGAATGGAAGATACTGTTACATTCTTCGCAAATAAACTTGTGCCCTTTCTTGCAATATACAGGAAATAAAAATAGTATTTGCGAATACACATAATACATTGGTGGAGTTAAAATAGAAAAAAGTGACAGAAATTTTCGTGGAATAATCCAGGATGCTATAAAATTATTTTTTACACGTAGGTGTTCAACAAAATGACTTAGATGCCTTCTTCTGATTGAAGCATGAAAATTTTACGGTTTAAACAGGAGACGCAGATAAGTCAGAAATAACTACCCCAATTATTTAGATGGAATAATGTTCACAGTGCCGATGAAGGGTTGAATAAACTATTCGGCAAGAACATGAATATTATAGGGGCGGTATAAAAGCATTTATATTTATGCAAATTTAACCGCATCGAAACGAATAACATGCCACGCTCTGAAGTGGTGCAATTTCAACATGAATCGCCGCAATTAAGCAATCTATCGGGATAGCTCCCCTCGGGTGTAGATCATCGGGATCCACTGGAAGTCAATTTAAATATCAAGATACACATCCGCGCAGACATTGATCGCGGCTATCGTATTCTTTCGCGAGCGTTCAGGTTTCTGGTTCACCTCGATCCAGATTAATTCGCAGCCTCCGCCACCGAACGCGTGATTCACTTCAAACATGGAAATAACTACCGCTAAACAATATTTAGCAACCTTGTTCGCGCTGTCACACGAGAACTCAGACGGATTGGCGTTACGTAAATGACACGATACATCGTTCTTCGATCGCAATCGAGAGTAAACAACTCTCACAAAACACATAGAATTTCTACCCCTTCCTTTCCCTTTCTTGAATTTAAGAAAAACCAAACGTACACATACGTTCCAGTATCCCTCAAGAGGTCAAGTCAAATGTAAAAGACTTTTTTCAATAAAAACATAAATTCCAGGAGCTATCGAGTGAAAATAACACGAACCAAAATTAAATTCGTAGAAATCACTATCTGTTTGTTGAATCAGAGATTCGTTGAAAAGAACACAGCAAGCTAACTTACACCGAAGAGGCGTTCCGAGGAAAGCAGATGGGGATACGACTTAACATTGGAACACCGATCGTCCAAATGCCCCCTGAAAACACCTCCGGTTCTACCTCCGGTTCTACCACCGGTTCTACCGGTACCTACGTCCGTAGAAAACCGCTGACGGTCAGCGTAATCCGTTCCGGTGTAATCAGGAATAAATCAGGAAAGGGCGCGCCGGTGCGACGAATATTTATGCGTCCTCTGTCCCCTTCCCCCTCCCTTATACTAACGACGGGAAATTAAATTCGCACGTTTCATCGGGGCGGTTCCTAGGAACGAACTCACCCAAGTAAATACAGGTAAATAATCAATACTTTCGTTTCGATACCGAGTATTTTTAGTATCGATTTGATAGCGGTTCATTCCTAACAGTTCCACATGGGGCGCACATATTTCACGGCGGTCGAACGTCAGAAACCCCGAGAGCCCCGGGGAAAGATATCCGTCGACAGGCTTTTTTCCACTTCCCACTTGGCCATTTCGTTCCACTGGGTGTGTACCCTTCGTTACGGGAATATCGGCCGAAATCCTGGCAACGGTCCGCCTCGGTTGTTTTTTTTGCGTTTCAGTCGCGATAAACCGAGCCTGTTTGCCGCCCCCGGAACAAAAACGCATTGTTATCGGCTCGAAGCGTATCGAAGCCATCATCCGCGGTATTTAACTCGGGGTTGGGGAAAAAGGTGGGGATAGAGACCGCGTATACGTAGATTGCACAGTTTTGGGGTGGAATCGATCGACGAACGGAATGTTTCGAACACGATTGGCGAACACTGTTCTGTGCATTCGGACTGATTAACACGATTAAACTTCGATTCCAGCGCTGAAAAGCCGATAGATGAAAAAAATATGGAACGTTTGTTTAATTAAAAATGCTACCCCCATGTCGGTGCGTTATGTTATCGACGGGACGATGAGGACAAGCGTGACATATCCGAACGCCTGGTTTTTGTAACTTGTTCGGGGTTTTATTAGAAACATAAACAAATAGTATTTTACAACGACTGATCAGGATAGAGGCCGGTTATTTGTATCCCTATATTCTCTGAATATACGTCATCCACACACGCGCAAACAATTAACGTTTTAAACGTATTTAGAGCTCTCTTTCATTCCCACTTTCCATGTAACAAAAACTTCGCGCGCAGATTTATCGACGACACTCTGCGGAATACTAGTCCGTGGACAATTTTTGGAATCTACGGACAAGAACGTATAGTGACGATCGAAAGAAAGTTTACCTTTTTGTACACACTCGATAACTGCATTTTATATTAAATTTTAACTGTTCGCGTGATCGTTCCTAAATGAATATAAAAATTAGTCCATGTATATTCAATCGTATCTCGATTAAATTACAAAAACTACTGTTTCTTCGTTAAATTAAATTTGTCTACCTTAACACGTTAATTTTTTACACTTTCTTACGATCACCATTATCGGATACGTACAAACCATCGAAATTATCCTCACCGGAACGCGCTTTCGCGTTCAACAGATCTCCCGAGACGATCAGACTGTATAGTATCTTGGCAAGAATTTTCCTTAAAATTTATTTAACGCTTCCTCTTTCCTTCTTCCTAAGCTACACCACAATCCCCCTGGGTAGTCTCACCGAACTCGAAACTTCGCTCGATTTCCTCATCGCTTCCCACCCCTTCTTCTGGATTTCCACGCGGGGGAAACTTTTCCATTCGCTGATTTCGCGTGGAAAACTTTTCAGCTTCCGCCCGTTCTCGGCTTCTCCCTGTGAAAACATTTAATTGATCGAGAAAATCGAATGCAAACGGCTGAAACGAGACCCACCCCGCTCGAGCAAACAGAGATCGCCTCGTGAAACGTTTCGAACAAAACGACGGTATCGCGGATCACATCACTGTAGCTTCTAGTTCGGCGCAGAAACGCCTGTATCGAGCGTTTGATACAGGATGCCTCAAAATACATGAAAGAACACCATTTTCTTACAGATCATTCTCCTCCCGACGGGAAGAATTTCAAAGCCAGAGGCGAATAATATTTATCACAGAATCACCGCTAGTCAACGCTACGTTTATCAACAATACATACACAATATTCTAACAACATTCATAAAAATCGAATACCATGTACAGTAAATCATCGATGAGGGACCTAACCCCCCCTCCTTCCCAGTAAGTAGGATGGCGGTGATACCTTGTGGCGGGGATGAACTAGAAACTCTCATGAGGAACTTCCTATCCAACTCTCATGGAGCCTTTACTGTATATCTCGAAGGTTTGTAACTTTAATTGTTCATATCTTTCAAAATTACCGAGTATCTACTCCTAATATTTCACATATATCATTATGAACCTGTATACACTATCATCTTACTAAACCCCGTTAAAATTGAAGTCGGCCAGTGAGGGTCCTTCCCTTATAAGTACCGAGGAGTGTTCGAACGCTCATCCGTGATTTACTGTATTATAGGGAGCTGAGAAGTTGGTATACACTGAACTAACATCCCACTGCACTATAACAAATTAGAGCCAACTTCAGGACGATCTTCTTAGCTCCCAACTTTACACGAAACATCAATCATTAAGGTTTATCGAACTAAACGATGATCTTCCGTAAAAGAATCTCCTCCTCCTACGGCATCTATACTTTTAGACGACCTGTATACGCATGCACGAGCATTCGCGGCGCGATAGCCAGGGAAATACTCACAAAGGAACGACGCGTGCAAAGTAAGCATACTGCATAGGTTGAAAGGTTCCCGACGAGTACCTCGAGTACCGTTCTCCCTCTCGTTTGGCACAGGGTCTCCTCCGTTTCAGAGACGGAGGGATAGGCGGTCGGAGGATTTGTCGATACCATCAAACGAGTAAGGAGATTTAATGCACGCTCGAATATACATATATATATACAGGGTGTCTCGCCCGATTTTGACATCTTGATTTTCTCGCTATTGTTACTCGTAGCAAAAAATGTTTCAGCGGGGGCTTGAATGGTATCGAGTGAAGCATATTCTGATGTTATTAGTTTTTTCGTGAGTGGACGTATTAAAAAATACCTCATTCCGTTTAAAAAAATAAAGTCGACCATCATATGATCTTTACGTGTCTACTCGCGAAAAAAGTAATAACATCTGAATATGCTCCACTCGATACCATTCAAGCCTCCGCTGAAACATTTTTTGCTACGAGTAACAATAGCGAGAAAATCAAGATGTAAAAATCGGGCGAGACACCCTGTATATGACACAACTGTACCAAGGTAAGTCCCTTTGATGTTCCTCACCGTTCCGCCTACCTACGCGGAAAGTCCGCAATCGCGTTCGCGTCGACTTTCAGAAAAATCTACTTGGACCAGCGCGGAGAGAGCCCGTCTACCAAGGGCGTGTTCACCTCTTTTTCCCTCGTAACATCTATCTTCCGGAATTGAAGAAGGTAACGGGGTGCGGCGGCCGCGGGTCAGCGAATAAATATAAAGCTGGGGGTGGGTCGTAACTCTTTTTCGATACAAAGATCCGGGTTTTCTCCTCTTATTCCGTCGAAACCACGATCCGAAGATAGACCTCACCCTGAAGAGATCCCCGGCTGGTATCTATCGACGAGTCGATTAAGCTATACAATTTTTAGGAACTATATCCATATTCGATCCTCGAATCTCGGATCGATTCTTCACCCACGAGCAATCTTCAGGTTTGAACGATTTATGAATTCTCGAATTATTCTTCTCCCACCATCTTCAAGTTTTAACGATTCATAAATTCTCGAATCGTTCTTCCACGAAGAGCAATCTTCAGGTTTTAACGATTTACGAATTCTCGGATGGTTCTTTCGGTAAGAATCCTCCGGTTTAACCCCGTTCCCGAATTCTCGATCCTCTGGTCGCGGTCCTCCGAGCAAACCATCACAACGATCTATAGCTTCTCTCTTCCCAACGCGCAGAAGTATTGTTCGACGATGCTCTCTTCGTACGATTTCTTCCTTAGATCGAAGGTATTTTGTAGATAGTCCATTTCCCCCGTAGATCGCTACACGTCCTCAGGGCCGGTGTTTTAACCGCCGATCAACAGCCATGGTAGGATCACGGTGACGCAAAGGGCCGCCAAACAACTGGCGCACATCGCCAGCGGACTGGCAGCTGCCTCCGGTTCCGTTTCGACTGTGTAATCCTCGTCACGCTCGAACTCGCGGACCTCCACGTCGCAACGGAAACAAACGCGGGTCGTCTTCGTATGGGTGCTGTCCCGTCGCATCAGCAGAGCCGAGCCTTTCCGTTCGATCTTCCATCCGGGCTCGTGGAGCAGCATTCGCGTCATTTTTTCGATGTGAATCGTTCTGGGATCCAGGGGACCGATATCGATGATCCTTCAGCTGGATGACTCTTCGTGAACTGTCGCGTGTCCCGATGACGAGCAGCTACTACTGGTTGCTTTCGCTTCGACGCTGCCACCGGCTAATTGTATCGCTACCTGAAAGACAAGACAAAGCATATGAATGAGAGGATGGTCTCCCGCGTGCCATGTGCTCTGACATATCGCACGCACAATAGACCCCGAAGAGAGATTTACAGGGAATGCTGGGCCAGAGGTAGGGTTTGTAACGGTTCCGAAAATAACTTTTTCGAACTGTTATTATGAAGGTTCTGATTGAAAGAGTTATGAAGAACTTTTATTTTAAATAACTGTTATGAAGAACCTAAATTTCAGACTATATTCAGTTTCGATTCAGTAACGATTGTACATGATATGCATGCAAGCATATTTAGGAAGTAGAAACTTTCACGAGGAACTTCTTGTCCAACTCTCATCGAATCTTTACTGTAGTCTGAATCTTTATTCTTGATTCTTAGAGATATTTTCATCTTGATTCTTCACAATTGTTTCAACAGCCTAAACCGATATCATAACAGTTTTCAAGGCCTGGCCAGGGGGTCTTTAATCTCTGAGCTCCAGAGGAGCTCTAATTTCCGTGAAAGACACGCGCGCGTAATCTAATCTACGTTCTCGTGCTACTCGCGATATACGTATGTATTACGCGACACAGGGCTGTGTTATCGGTGGCCAGATATTGGTTTGGGAACAGGCGAAGCTTTTGGATCGATGGTGACATTAAACCTTGGGTGAGATGACCCGTGAGGTTACTGGATGTTGGGAAACTTGAATCTTTGTTAGGGGACACAATGGTCTCTGTTCCAAGTTGATTGTGCCTCGTGGAAGCATGGAAATAATTGAATGGAGGTCTAGAAGAAGGGTGTATGTTTCAAATATATAAGAACAATGATTTTTATACCCAACATTATGTTTGCAGTTAATGAATTACTTTCCTGTTGTTGGACCACTATGCACTTTTCGATGTGGAAGAAGAAAAGTGTTAATTTTGTAACTATCGAAGAAGTTGTGAATTCTCACAGAGCCATCGTGTTCTGAAAAATTAGTTTCAAACGATTCGAGCCGGAAATTACTCCCACATCCACCGGACACCCAGCAACTATCAACTGTTGCCAAAAAGTGGAAAAACCAGATTTCGGAACATAAAGAACTTAACGAATAGACTATCAAAAACATTATTCAGATGGCTTAAAAAAAACTAGTTTCGCGCCTAGGATAAGTGCATACAATTAAACATAAATTATATTAAAAACTTCCAGTGTAATATGGACGAAAATGAAAAAACTAAACAATTTATACAACACAGTTAGCAGAACTCTGGAAACATTTCTTGTATAATTAATTTTAAGTGTCTCTGATGTTGTGACGTAAAAGCCAACATTTTATATAAGAGAAGTAGTAAAAACACAGTGAACACGAGGTAACGATGGCGAGCGACGTTTTAGAGGAAATTACCTAACACGTTGGAGGTTCAATGTTTGCGTTTTTCGAATCCAGTGGAAACGGAAGGGAACTGGAACAGAACTTTTTAAACGTCTCCGGAAGAATATACATGCATCGACGATCATGGACATTTATCAGACCCGACCGAAATGGCATGGATCAGTGCGTCGCCATTGAAAAGAAGAACATTTCGTATACGGCAGGCCGATAGTTACGATGCCGGAAGTGCATCATGCAAAAAACTGAGTCGGGGGGAGGGAATGCGAAAAAACAAACACTGTTGTTCCCCCCTGGTTTCTAGGGGGGCGTTTTCACTCGCGTGAAAGATCAGCCGGAAGTTGGAAAAACGGTCACCCAGTTGCAAGACGAACGAAACACTGTTCGCCAACCAGGAGATTACAAGCGTTAAAGATTAAAGCGTATCAAATCCGATGCACTTTGCTCCCATGGATACGTCAATGCACTACGCGACGACACAGGAAACAAACACCACTGACTCGTACATACACCTCGTCGATTAATGGTCGTGGTTGGCGTTTCTTTGTTCGAAAACCAGCCCCGGGTCAGGCAACATAATTTGATGTGCGTGAAGTTAGCCGCCCATTTTGTGAAAAGTTAAAAAATAATTGTTGCACTAGTTTGTAGTGGTTTCGTACCGCCGTGTGCCGTTGAGAGTTTTCTGAAATTCGAAAAAGTTTTCGAAAAAAATGGAAAAAACTAATTTCTTGTACTAGTTGCACCGAACATTGTACCGTTCGAAAAAGTTGTTTAACAACATTGGCTTGAAAGAAAAAGCGTAAAATAAAAAATATTACGAGCACCCATCTGACACGGCATAATAATGAAGACTCTGAAATGTCAGGGAATACTCGCCTTTCCTCCTACTTTAACAGTTAATTCACTAGCTCGCAGCGAATTTTTCGTAATTTTTCTTTTCGTATGAATTCTTAACGAACCCTGTTCGCATCTTCTAAAAATAGTAACGGAATTACTAATTCTAACGGTTACTACTCTTATTTCTCTCACTGCTCGACTTCCACTCCTGGGATTTCTCTTTTACGAGCCTCACTCGCGCGCAAACTTAATCTCCAAGGCGAAAAAGAAACAAAACACATGAAAGTATAAAAGTTTCCTATATTCTACAGACAGCGAGAGAAGTTCGACACGGTTGGCAAAAGTTCGTTTCGCCTAATGATTTTCGAAATGTTACTCGGAAAATTCACGAGTCTTTTAATGCGGTCATCAAAAACTTCCTGCGAACGCTCGTGTTCGAAACGGCCTTCGGCGCGCAATTTGAAGGAACGCGATGGAAAACGAAAACCTGAAAAAAAAAAACGTCCTAATTTTTTCTTCTTTTCGTCGTGGTTTAATGGGGCCATTTCTGTGGAGGCAAAACTACGAAACTCCGTCGAGCGCTCGCGCGCGACTGGAAATTTCGTTAGCAGGTGCTCCGGTTTTATGGGCATTTAATACGCAGATACTGATGCCGCGGGCGCTTCATCAACTTCCCTGCGCGCGCTGAGAAACGAGAATTAATCGAAGTAACTTCAGCCATTTCGCCGTGCAGCCTCCGACAGAGGGTGGAAGCCACCATCACCCCCCTTTCGCTTAAACCCCCGAAGCCGGAACTCGACGAAACTTCGCCCACGGTGTTCCCGTGCAATTCCGTGCACGTGATGCCCCCGTACGATTACAACGCAAACACCGACCGCCACCGGGAAAACTGTTAATCCGGCCGGAGACGAACACCGATACGATCGATAACGTTCGAGTTTGGAAATTTTCGAAACCTTGTCGCGGGCAGAGTTTCTGTAGCGAGTGTGGGTGGATCCTCTCGGATCAGACGAACAGCTGGAGCGAGGGGTGGGGGGTGTAATTCAATCGACTTGGCGATCGTGAAAATTGATTCCTGACGATTGGAGATGGTTAGCATCGGTTTTGGAGTGGTTGGTTATGCAATGGTTAGCATCGTGAATTGAATAATATTTTGAACGAACAGAATGTTGGAGAAGTAAATTTGCACACAGTGTTCTTTAGCGAATTTTGCGCGGAATTATGAGTAGGTTTCCAAATGAAAAGTTATATTGAAACTTTATATAACTATTTAAAAACAAGAGAAAATGTAGAAATTTCTTCCTTTTCTTAAGTATCACATTCAGTTCAGAATAAAATAGAGAAAAGTCGTTGGATCTGATGAAAGTTTTATCTTTCATTGTAATTTACTGACTCTTATAGACCATAAATACATAAAATCTGCGATCTAATAATATCGATAATTTCAGCTTAAACAGATATGGATGTGGAGATTAACGAAGAATGTAACATCGAACGGGACCGATCGATTTTGCGGGGACGGATAAATCTTCGATCGATAGTCGCCCTGAATTAGAAGCCACGTTTCTCGAGGAGAAACGGTCCATCGATAATAAGCCGTGAAAACTGGTCAAGAGCCATTAAGTCCCGAAACGGGGAACTTTCATCGCGAGACGACCTTCCACCGGCGTGGTCTGCGCCGAGTTTTGCCCCAGTTTCGACTCTCCGGCGGCTATTAGTACCGATTAGATGGAGTTTAAGGCAACGTCAAGTCGAGAACCGGACGAGGCAGGGAACGTTTTTTTTTTTCGACGAACTCGAACGGTCCATTAGGAGAAATAGACGACGTACACTCGATACGGGGCCGTGTACCGATGTACAGGACGTCTCTAAAAGTGGGTTACGAAGTACATTGAAACTTGGACACATTAAAGCTTTAAGCTTCACCTGATCACTGCTTTGCTTCTCCAAATGGTACAATTATTTTAACGATAGCGTTAAACTCTTTAAGGACGAATTCGTTAAGACCAGAAGAAATATTTTTTTCTTTATTTTTCAGGTGTATTTAATTGATATACATATATATTTATAAATCGTAACAACAATCGATTAGTAGAGTACCCTGTTTGGTTGGGGAATTTTCTAGTGAATATTTCATTACAATTTCGGAATGATACTCGAATGAAAGAAAAACTAAACATACACATACGTGTCCCTGAAGAGGTTTAATAAATCTGAAAGTATGGTCGACTATTTTGAAACGGACTTACTTTAATGAACACTTGCACGACCTCTGAATGTAACCCCTTTGTAACATCGCGTATAATATTAACGAGGTATTGTGCCAACAATCGATCATAAATAGTAGGTATGATTTCTCTGTGGTACAATGTTACTACTTATAAAAGTTTCGATCGCGACTTTCTACAATATTTCAGACGGAAATGTATTAAGCTTCCAATTAACTGTGCCGACTCCATTCTAATTCCTGGATTCCAAAGAGAAACGAAAATACGTAATTTAAGCTCTCGAATTAAAATCAGGTCGCGGTACACAAAAGCTCGCGGCTGGTTCATTACGTAACGTTCTGAAACGTTAACAAGGCCGTGTAACAACCGATAGTCGAATAAAACAAAATCGAAACCGCACGTAAAATGACATTTCACGTGCAGCAACCCGACAGACCTCCAACAACGACCGTAATGACACGTCGTGGTTCTGACTCTAATAATAGCTGTGTAGCAGTGAACTTTGCTCGAGTGAATCGATCGCTGAGCAGCTCATAAATCCTTCCTCCTTGTGCGCGTACAATCTGTCGGGGAACA